TTTCCGCTGTGGATTATGTATCCTCTTGCGCTAAACCCAGTTTTAAGCTTGTTACGTTTCACTGAATTATCGGCAACCTGATTAAACCAGAATATGTCAATAAATTTACGTGTATGGCAAACATGTTTGGATTAATATTCGGTTTACTCAATTATTCTACATAACGAACATAATGGCTTTGCAAATATTATTATTTAAATATCTTTATTAGAAAATTGGAAGATAAATTTCAAAAAAAAAAAAAAAATTCTACTAAATCAAAAATTTTTTTGTTAAGACAGGAAGGATTCAATGAATTTTTCATGGAGACTTAACTGAGGTACTGAAAAAGAACTTTGAGATTGAGGATCTGTTTTTGTAGCCGCCCTTACTGGTAGCCGATTTTATCAGCTACCAGGCACTGATAATATCTAAAGATCATCACTATTTTCTGATTGGACAAGACAAGCCTATCCTAATTTGTCCCGAAGTCTCCAAATTGACGGACTCTTCTTTGCTGGTAATTACAACTGTGAGTTACATATATTCTTTGACTATCTACAATTTTAGGACCGTCATCTATACTTGCATCCTCGATTCTCAAGCATTTCCAACTTCTTCTTTACATCAGACCAGTGTGACTGACGTCTGCACTTTTTACTACAAATTTTTAAAACTATATAATAAACCTTCACTAGCGACCCTAGCTATTGCTGATGGAATAATCAGATTGTTGGCGATTTTCTCAACTAGCAATAAGTTAATTGTTCAATGTTTTGTGCTCATGCGCGCTGATCTCATGTCTATCACTTTGTGCGTTAGGAAAAACACCTTATTATAAAATTTTAATATACAGCCGTACCGTCAATATGGGTCAACGTTAATTTTACTATTACTACTTTTTATTACATATTTGTAAAACTGTAACAACAAACATTTAGTAGCGATCTTAGCGATTGCTGATGGAATATTCGTTGAAGGAATGGATGGAAGAGAGTTATAATACTTTCAGAGATAAAAGTTGTGGTCATTAACAGAGAGATGAAGATTAAAAATAACCAAAGAAACGGAAGCCCGGATACTGACAAATATAGGTAATTAACTTAGATTTCAGTATTTTGTAATTAGTATATAAGGAAAAGATTTTGAAAATTTGTATATGGATTCTCGAACTCTGTCAATGTGTACAGGGAGAGTAAATAAATTAAATTCTCCCTTCACGATGATTTATGATACTGCAAAACGTCGGTCACCCCCACAATCCGTTGTATATGAACACAAGGGCTAGCGTGGTGAGATTTCCCGTTCTGCTCACATGGGGTACTATACTCAATAAATTGGAACCCATTCCTGATGTTTTCTAATTTTGGTCCACTCTGAATTTACTACCTTCCTGCTACACCTGGAAATGCGCCCAGTAGGGGTTCCTGTAACCCCACACTAGATGATTATTATTATTACTATTGTAATTTCAAATATAATTCTACATCCATAAAGCGTTTGAATTTAATGTTCCTAAAGGTAACATTGATCAGGAAAAAGTTCATGTGGCAAGAAATTCAAAATACCAACAATAAAAAATGCGCTTGTCATTTTTTGATTAAAACAACAGATCATGATGATTTTTGATAGAAGCCACATACATATATACTGACATGAAACATTTTTCCTTGTATTTTTAATCATCATTTCTCAACTCAAGTGAAGGGCGAAAAGCATTTCTTCTACATGATGATACTTGTTTTCTGTTCTAAAAATATTCTCAGCCTTATCAATTTATAAAGAATTTATTCAAATATGTTAAAGTTTTCTGTAGATGATTAAATTGTTGTTATTATTATATTAGTCAATAAAATAAAAAAAAAATTAAATAATGATTCTGTTCATGATTTGCAGAAGTATTTTAAAGAGAAAGATTGAATTTACAGACATTGACATTGAAGTGAAATTATCTTTTCGGCGAACTGAGGTTTATCCGCATGGAGAAAAAATATGAAATCCTATGGAAACATCCGTTTAAAACAGATTCTTTGTATAAAGCAGACTAACACACGTTACGTTAGGAGAATTTGTGTTTAGTTTGTCAATAATAATCGAGTTTGAGCTGCCAGTGTATATTTTCATACATCTTCCTTGCAAACATTGATTTCACGGAAGTATCTCACAGGAATTCTACTTGCACATGCAAGGGCATTTCATTTCTTTAAGTACCAGAGCAGTGCTTTTGTGTGCTATTTACTGCTTCCATGACCGTTCACTATTTGTGTGTATAAATATAATATACATGTGAAAAGTAACCATGACTTTTATAATAATCTTCATGCTCCTATTCTTTTACTTTCTAAACGTCTGTTTTGGTATAATAATAAGTTTCTATTACAAATATATACAAATTTCTATCAACAAATTGCAAATCAAACGACAGGAAAAAGAAAAAAAATAATTTTGAGAAAGTAGTATAGAACACGCGGAATGTTATTAATAAAGTATTGAAAAATTACGTAACTTTTTTGTGTAAATATGAATTAAATAAATAATTATCACTTCTACAATATTAAAATCATTTACACCCAGAGAAAAAATTTATTAGTTTTGAATAAAAACGTATATTTAAATCATTTTTATTTATTTCAAATAAATATTTTATTTAAATTAAATAAATAAATGTTTGTTTGAAATTGTTGTATATGTTTCTTACAAATAAACAATTTTATTAGTACTTTTTAAAAAGGTACATTTGTGGCAAATAAATAATATATTTAATTCAAATAAAAGTTTATTCGAGTTGAACGCAAGCATGCGCAGAATACTGTATACGATATAACTTTAAAGATGTCGGACGTAGTGAAAACGAGGTGACAGATTAACGCGACCAAGCAGTTGTTTGTACAAGGATTGATTATTATTTGATTAAAACAAATACTAATTTCAGGATAATTAAAGAAATGTTTTTATTCGCGAGTGTTTATTAATTAAATCACACTTTCCTTTTATTTTGAGTGCCTTTCTCCCTGTTGTGTCTCCAATGTGAAGCAGAATTCAAATCAACTTATCATTGACACAGAGAAATGGAAATTGTTATGTTTCAACAATATCCACGGAACATACAAAAAAATAACCACGAAATGTAAAAATTTAAGATTTTCAATTTGAATCATAAATTTTAATTATATCAATTCCAGAATATTTGGCTGAATACCAGGCAATTTTGCAATTTGTCCTAAATATAAAATATATTTGTAGCAAATAAAAATTTATTTGTCTCAAATTTAAATATAAAAATTTATTTGAGACAAAGAAAACTTTAGTAGGCTCTGAGACAAATATCCATTTTTATTTAAGTCAAATATATTTTATTTAATTCAAATAAAACATTTCTCTGGGTGTAGATAACATTTTTATTTGTATATACACTGTAAAGAACGAAACTTAAAATATTTTTAATAATTTCTGTTCAAATAATGAAATGATAATTGAAAGAGTTATAAACGCTACGATAATATGCTATTCTTGAGAAAACAAAAGCAAAATATTTCTGAGATTCTCACTGCTCATAAAATTTTTATGACTTATGTATGAGATCTTGACCTCTTCCAGAACAAAAACAAACGACAAATTATGCCTTGTGTATTATTCCCGAAAACATATGTACTTTACGTGTATTATATATCTTCTGATACTGTCTGTATAAAGTAGTATAAGACATTTTACTGTGTCGTAAAATATATTTATAAGTGTTGCGTATATGTATTTTTTGTATCATTTGCTTAAGAAATATTTTATTCCGAAGCATTTGAATTTAGCATTAACTTTATATATTCCTAGATTGTTGTATATTAGCTGTGTATATTATTAATATTATTTATCTCTAATAAGTCCTGAAAAAATTTATTTAAATCAAAGAAATTACTTACACACTAAAAAAAAAAGTAGAATTTTTACCCGAAAATTATTATAAAATTTTAATATCCAGTCGTAACGTCAGTATTGGACAACGATAATTTTACTACTTTTTACTAAAAATTTGTAAAACTATGACAACAAATACCTTCAGTAGCGACTGCTGATGGAACAATTCGGATTGTTGGCGATTTGCTCAGCTAACAGGTAACACTTTGTGCATTAGGAAAAACACATTATTATAAAATTTTAATATACAAACGTAACGCCAATTTGGCCCAACGTTAATTTTACTACTTTTTATTACTTTCTTATTTTCAGCTTGTTGAGTTAACAATTATGGATTACAATAACAAATAAAATCGATTTTTAAAATTTTCGACCATCATATATCAGTATGAATTTGTGGTTAGGATTTAATAAATTAAAAATATAGAATAAAGTGTAATTAATTTTCTAATTCAAATAATTATTGCAACTACATTCAATCACAAAATATAATTATGCAATTGAAGTAACAATGGTATATAGAAATAATAGAGATTAATCTGCAGACGACAGATAACTGATGACAGACAGTCACCAGAGTTTGGAATGTCAATTACTATATGTGCAATTTACAGTAAAACGTCCAAAATGCGAAACCTTTGAGTTTTTATAAAGGCGTTTACACACCTCATTAGTTTTCGATATTCAGCAAAAAAAAATACAATTCTCCCTAATGCGTATTAGTATTTTCTGCTCGTATCAATTAATCATAACAATCTGTTTAATCTAAAAAAATTTCTAAAACTTTCTTGATAATAATAATAAGTGAAAATGAAGCATTAAAAAAAATTAAAAAAATAACCTAAAAATCTCTCAAGAATCTTGTGGTTTAACCTCAGTAATCGCAGTCGGGTAATAGTAATTAGAAAACTCGTCGTATTATTGCAATTAACCCTCGGCACGTTGGCGCGCGTATTTCACGGATAGGCGGGTACCGTTGCACTTCCGGGTTTTGGGTGGGAGAAAATGCACCTGGTTTCTCGGGCGGATGAGACGCAAGGAGAGAGGTTAGAATGGTGCGTGCGCATCTGTCGACCACGCTGCCAGTGGCCGGCGAGTTTCAAATACCGCGTGGACTTTAGTAACTCCGTAACCGTCGTAAGGTACAGTCATATCGGTTTTTTTCTCCAAATTTTCAACGATCAAAACAAAACACAAAAACAAAATTTTCCTTCATTAATCACTAATCACTTTTGAATAACTTCATCTAAATTTCGCAAACTAATAATATCCCAATAATCTAGTTCCATGTTCCAATTTTCAAAACAGTTAACTGTTTTTTTTTGAAACAATTTGAAAGTATTCATAATTTTTTCCTAATAGCCAACGAATTAAGTGTCAAGTGTTTAAAATAGTGTCAAGTTTAAAAGAGTGAAAAATATTCAACTGGTGGAATTTTATAGTGATTCAGAGAGTGACGCGCGTGGTTCTTTTTTTTTTTGTAAACAAAGAATGATCGGTTATTGAACTAACCTCTATGTGATTTAAAATAGATTTTGACCAGTGATTCGGACCCGAGTGTGGGAGAAGAGTCAACTTTATAGAAAAAAGAAAAAAAAAACATAATGACAAGTGTTATTGTTGGAATTTTACTTTGGACGCTACTATTGACAGTGGCGTCCGAGCCGGAAGATTCAATAAAAGAGAAAATTTCAATTTTAAAGTGTTGTCATTTTTTGGAACATTTAATACGTGAAAATGAAAATTCTCCACCACGTTGTGTACCAACAAAAAATGAATGGAAACCATTTATTTATTCCGTTAAGACGGGCAAGAAAATAACGGAAATTCCAAATAAATGGAATATTACGGAAGGACAAAAACCACAATGTCCAAATACGCATGTTTTAACTTATGTGCCCTACAATTCATATTCACCATTTATACTAACAGATGCGGGTGGAGCGATTTTGGATCTTGCAGCCGGTAGAAATGTAAATCCTGAAGAGTATTGTGCTGATTCGAATGCATTGCTCGTTTGTGAATTAAACTATATGGACGACGAGCGTGCTGCCTCAACAATACGACCTAGTATTCGTCGATGTTGTGGTTCGCATGCTGCCTACGATGAGAACAGGTACCTTTTTGATTGGAGCTACTATTCAAGTTTACTCACTTCTACTACAGTATATCTCCCTTTAATTTAATCCAAACATGATCATGAATTACATATACACATTTGTATTTACCAGTTTTGTGAAACAAATTTTTTTCCGCATGTATGTAAATAACGAATATAATTAAAGTTTTGAATATTCATAAATAAATGTATTGTTATGATTTTTATGTTTTTTTGGAAAAGTTACCTATAAATTAAAAAAAGTATGTTACTGAACTTCTGAACGTTTAAATGAACGAAAAAAGTTTACTACTTTTTTAACCTCAAATTTTACTATAAAATTCTGTTTTCTGTGTGAAAAAATAAATTTACAATTTATTAAATATATATGTATATATTTTTTTTTGATTGTTATTTAGAACTTCAGGCACATAAAAAATGTTAGAACAAAACATCAAGTTTTTACATTCGATGTTCTTACTTTTGTTATTTTAATTATTTATAATTTTTCATTAATTGACTTTTTAAATCGTTATCAAAATGACATAAAATTTTTGAAAAAAAATGTTAGATTGAAAAAAAATAAATAGTTATTTTTACATTCGATTTATTTATTTTTGTTATATTTTAATTACTTATAATTTTTATAAAAAGAAGATATTAACAAATAACAATTGACGAATGACAACATTTTCCTGTAATGAAGAGGAAAAGAAAAATAACAGGTCATTTCAGCTCTAAAAATTAATTAGATTAGATTGAAAATCAATTAGGTTAGATATTACTTGATTAGATTAGGTTAGGTATCACTAAAATTTCGCGGTAAATTTGAATTAAAAATTTGAAATTAAGAATGAATAAGAATTACTTATATATACATATATATATATCATTTCGATGTATCTTCTTTTAAATTCAATTATTTCATTATTTAAAATTGTAGTATTGTTGAAATCAAAAACATGATGGTTATTTGTAGCATGAGAACTAAGTCCAGTGTCAATCTTTCTGTCCCTAACAGACTTTTTTACTTTGTTATTTTGTACAAAAAATTTCTTTTAAACATTAAAAAATGTTGTATATATAAAAAAACAAGTTTAAAACAATTTTATGAACAAAATAATAAAATATGTTTTCAATGTAAAACAAAAATAATTACAAAAAAAATTATAAATAATGAAAGTCACAAAATTAAAAATAACGAATGTAAAATGTTGTTAACATAATTATTTTCAATCTAGATATTTTCGGAAAATTTTCTCTAGCTTTTGATTTATAACTAAAAAAAATTTTCAATATTTAAAATAACGAACAAAAAGAAAATTTGTTTTTAAAATTTTATGTTTAGTTTTGATACCGAATCTTACAAATGAAACCAAAAAGATAAATTAAATTAAATATTCATTACTTGAAATAATATATGCAGTAAAGGTTAAATTTAATTTAAAAAAAAATCCGAAAAATTCATTTATTTTATTATTCAAAACTTTAGAATCATTATGATAATTGTAAGTGCATTTTTAAGGAAAATAGAAAAGGACAAAAAATGTAAAACATTTACATATAGAGAAATTCTTTCCCATTGTATAGAACTCTAAAAAACAAAACTACATATCTCTCTCTAAATGATTCTGTAACTCACAATGCAAACACTACTAACATTCCTAAACCTAAACAAATTCAAATATGTGTGGACAAATAAAAAAGAAGATTTTTAGAAGATCAAATAAAAATTTTGTTCATTTAAGAATGAACATGCGTCATTACTGGAAAATTATTTTTAAGAATTTAGAAAATAGTAAAAAAAAAACCGGTATATGTAAAATGTCAAGTTTCAAAATTGACAAATGTAGCGGAGAATGCTATTAGTGTGTATACAAATACAAACATTTTCTAGTGTGTGACAGTAATAAACAGAAGCATCTTTCTAAAATCTATGTATTATACTCTACATAAAAAATCTAGTCATTTTGGAATCTATTTTTATATCAGAAAAAATTACGCATGTTCATTCTTAAATATTTCGGAACTTTTTAAAAAAAGATTCTTGATTTAAGACACTATTTTCTAAAATTATAATACTCAATAATTTTATTTATTTACTAAAGAAAATAAAAGTTTTTATCACATTAATAATATTACAAAAAAACAAAAGAAATAAACAAAATAAATAATAAATTACAATAACAGTAGTACTGATCAGTTTTTTTGTTTTTGTTGTTTTTTTTCACAACCTAAAAAAAATAACCTTCAGTCTACCGGATTCCTCTCAAATTAATGCATATTTTCCTCTAATATTTGCGGTGTCAAAAGTAAAATTCTTCATTTGTCATTCAATGACAATTCCGTTAAATGACAAATTTCTTAAATGGCAATTCGACAAAATGACTATTCTGTTAATTGACAATTCCGTTAAATGACAATTCTGTTAACTGACAATTACGTTAAATATCAATTCCGTTAACTGACAATTCCATTAAATGACAATTTCGTTAAATGACTAATTTGTTAAATGACAATTCCGTTAAATGACAATTCAGTTAAATGACAATTCGGCAAAATGACTATTCCGTTAAATGACAATTCTGTTAACTGACAATTCCGTTAAATATCAATTTCATTAACTGACAATTCCATTAAATGACAATTCCGTTAAATGACTATTCTGTTAATTGACAATTCTGTTAAATGACAAATGCCTTAACTCACAATTCCGTTAAATGACAACTTCGTTAAATGACAATTCAGTTAAATGACAATTCGGCAAAATGACTTCCGTTAATTGACAATTCCGTTAAATGACAATTCTGTTAAATGATAATTCCGTTAAGTGACAATGCCGTTAATTGGAATTTCCGTTAACTGACTATTAAGTCAATTAACATTTCGGTTAATTGACAATTCCATTAATTAACTATTCTGTTAAATGAAAAATCTGTTAACTGGCAATTCCGTTAAATGACAATTTTATTATGTGCCATTTCCGTAACCTGACGTTTCTGTTAGCTGATAGTTCGGTTATAAGCGTCCTTTCTTTTGATTGTTGTTTCTGTCAAATGACATTTCGGTTAATTGACCATTCCGTTCATTGACATTTCAGTTACTTGTCATTTTGGTTAAGTGAAATTTCTGTTATTTGACACGTCGGTTAACTAGCGAGTCCGTTAAGTGGCATTTCTGTTATATGGCAATTCGGTCAAATTGACAATTCTGTTAATTGACGTTTCGAATATTTGCCTTTCTGTTAGATGACTATTCTGACAAATGAGAGGTGGTGCATTTTCATGTGTCCCTATTTTATTAATATTATTAAATAATTAAATATTAATTAATATTAATATTACCCGTATTATCAAACAAAATTTTATCCGTAAAGAATAATTAAAGGTTATGTTTATGAAATTTGATTACACTTCTCTTATTTCTGTTTGATTTGGAAAAACTTTTGTGTTTTTAACTATCTTGTTTCTCTATTATAATTATACTCCCAGTAATTAAGTTTTCATTTAAATAGATCGAAAAAAAACTGAACTCTGTATAACCATTGACATTTGGCGCAACAGGCCAAACAGGGTGCGGTATCTAAATTACTCGATGTGAAACAGAATCAGGGTTCGGAATTTAAATTGCTCGATTTCTATATATATATATACTATAGTTTCCGAACCCTGCCTTGTTTGTTGGTCTTGATTGACGTTGTTGAATGTCATCAGTTGCTAATAGAAATCCTTTCTTTTGTAAAGAAAACTACGAAAAACTGTTTCTCGTTAAAGAATTTCTAATAAAAATAATAATAAAAATAACAATAATAGTAATACTTATTTTAAAATGCTTAGAATTTATTACAGAGTATTTTTATCGAAATGTCTATTATTTATCGTTATTTTGTTTGAATAAAATTATTAATGTGTAAATAAATAGATTTTAAAAAATAATAATGAAAAAAAAAATCCTTTCGAATAATTATACTTAGAAGTAGGGAAAAATACCACTTTCTATAATTTAGTTGTCGTTTAGAAGCATTTAATAGATAATAAGAATTTGCTTGTGTATATATTTCAATTTCACTGAGGTGGAAAGTCGGTCTCGCTCATTATCCAGAATCTAAACAGATGTTGCATAGCATTAGTTGCATGTGCTGCCAACAGATGCTTTCTTATAAAAAGTGGTCATTTCAGAAATTTTATGGAGTACTTTTTTCTACTTTTCGTTTTCATATATAAAAAAAATGAGTTTAATTATTACTGTTTCCTTTTTCTTCTTTTTTTACATCTTCTCATATATATAATATATATTCTACATAATTCAAAAAGTATAAAAAAACAGTATAAACACAAACGTATCTAATTACATATGTACTACACAATATTCTTTATACAGGATTAAAAACATTTTCTGTTTGCCTATTTGTAAAAAAGGTTTTATTTTCTCCAAGGTACTCATTAATTAAAAACATTTTTTTTCAATCTAAAACTGTTTAGTTTTTACATATAATAATAATAAAAAATAATAATATTAATAATTATTACAATAATTAATTGAAATCCTTATTTTTGAACTGTCAAATTTTGAGGTTATGTTTAGAGTTGCTAATGACTGTCACCAAACGTAACTGCGCTTGCGCTACTACAACTCTTCTATTAGTAGAAAAAGGCGCTCTTATTTAAAATGCATAAGAAAATATTTAGAAAACAATAAAAAAAAAATTATAATGAGTTAAATTTATTGTTTTTTAATGAAGCTGAAGTACGCAACGTCTATGATAAACGATTTTTAAAAAAATAATTTTTTAAAATGAAAAATAAATTAATAATTTTTTTTTTATTGTTTTCTAAATATTTTCTTATAGTAATAAATTTTTAATATGAGCGCCTTTTTCTATATACCAATGAAAGTGTTGTAGTAGAGCAAGCGCAGTTGCCTTTGGTAACGGTCATTGCGATAACTTTGGTTATGTTAAATTATTATAGAAACTATTGTTAATGGGGTAAAATTATCTTAAAATCAATGACAAATAATAATAATAGCAATAATTGACAAAATTTGATAATATATTTTTTTTACAGGAGAACTTGTGTTGTGTCTCAAGATAAAGATGATGCACCACCATTGGTTCCAAATCTTTCTTCATCATTCGAAATAAAAACAGGCTTTCCACATTGTCCAAAGTCGAAAAATTTCACAATTGCCGGCGATGTAAAAGATACGATACTTGAGCCCGATGGTACTTTAGTTTTTAAAGGGCAACAACTACGACTCTTATCAAAGGAGTATTGCGTCGAAAGAATTCAAGAACCAAATCATGTAGTGAAGGTCTTCTCATGTTCGAATGACGCCACTAAGACGTAAGTAAATTTTCTTTTTTTTTTGATATTTCACAGCTAAAACAATAATTTCTATACACGATAAAGTATATTAGAAAATTATTATTGAAAAGAGCTGTAACAAAACCGTGACAAAACCTTGGTTGATATTTATAAGTGTTATGTATATATAGAAAGAACAGTTAACGGAATTTTTAAGAGGCACGCGAGAAATTTCCTTATACAGGTACTGCTATATTGCATACATCATTGTAAAGATATAATTTATAGTTTATAATAATCAGTTTAGATGGGAACGAGTTTAACCTTAATGAGACAATCAAGAATAAGGATATATTCTGTGAGCATCACTCGGAAGTGAATTGTTCTTTGATATGAAGCAACGATGGAATGTGAGAAAACTGTTATTATATTCTCCTTTGTTTCTGTGAGAGAGAGAGAGAGAGAGAGAGAGAGAGAGAGAGAGAGAGAGAGAGAGAGAGAGAGAGAGAGAGAACTATAACTGCTATATACATACTGTGATAATACAGATTAACTTCTTTTGAGTTTAGTTCGGGTATTAATCATTTTTATTTTTTTCACATATTATATACAATTTTATTCTTCTCGTATATAGTTTTATTGATAAACGGTTTTAATCGCGTGGTGCATATGAATTTCCCATAAAAATCATTAAATAGAATTTTTATTTTAAAAAATTTTATTTATACAAATTTTTACATAAGCAAAATTTTTAATTACAGAATTTTTGTTTGGCAGAATTTTTATTTTAATAGTCATTTTCTTTACATGACTTTTTATTTAAAATAATTTTAATTTAAACGAATTTTAAATCAACCGAATTCTCATTTAATTGAATTTTATGTGATTCGAATTTTTAAATCACAGAAATTACAATTCATTGAATTTTAATTTGTCTTAATTTTTATTTGTATACGAATTTTTAATTGATAGAATTTTTAAGGCGCCGAATTTTTTATTTGTCAAAAATTACAAATGGCCGAACAAAAAATCGACAAAAAGATTTTGGCGCAATTTTTGAAAATTAACCAATTAGAAATTATTAAGAAAAATCGTGATTGTGCAATTTTTAAAAATTGCGCCAAAATCTTTTTGTCGATTTTTTGTTCGGCCATTTGTAATTTTAGACAAATGAAAATTCGGCGTTTTAAAAATTCTATCAATTAAAAATTTCGAGAAATAAAAATTCAAGCAAATCGTAATTCTGTACAAGAATTGTTCGGTTGTAAAAAAATTCAGTAATTCGGTTTAGTAAAAACTCTGTCAAAAAATAATTCGAACAAATATAAATGCAGCTAAATGAAAATTCTAACAAATTAATTTTTTCCATTAAGTATTTATGCATCTCATTTTAAATCCATTTTTTAAGGAGACAAAACAAAATTTATTTCTAAATGTAAAAAATGAGAAATATTTTTTTTATTTGTATAATCAGTTATTACGTTCAAGTAGCTTGTTTGAGTTTAAGTAAAATTATTCATTACCTATACATATATATAGTGACTAAGCTAAGTAATAACAGACTATATACTGGCACGCTTTTTTACACCAGGCAGGCGTAAAAAATAAAGCACAAAGAACTTCTCTCTCGTATATATATATATATATATATATATATATATATATATATATATATATATATATATATACGAGGGGCTGATCACTCTCGAGTACTTCACTCGCTTAAAACGAATATTTTTGCAGTTCTGTGATTAAAATGTTAAGTTGTCGATATTTCTCGAGTACAGAGAATAACGAAATTTAAAACGAGTTAACAAAATAACATAAAATAAGGCGGAATAGCGTAGAATAGTGGGGAGTAGTAGTAGAAGCGGTGCGAGATAGACGAATAACGATGAATAACGACGAGTAAAAGCGAGTCTCGGGTGAGTTTTTGGGAGTATTGCTAGTATTTAGGAAAGTTCTCCGTCTCCAGTGGAGCTCAGTTTCGCGCGAGGTAGTATGTATGTGTCAAACGCTTTTCCCTCTTAAGAAGTAGTTGAGAACAGAGTTCATGCTTTCCTTCTCTTTTCCTTACGTACAAGAATATACCTGACTCTCTCAGTTCTCTATGCACAATTGAAAAGCAGATTGAGTTGTTGCAACTCTGACCTGTAATATAATTTTTAATATCTTTACAACGATGCGATACTTAAAATTCTTAACCATTTTTTTTAGTGTTTAAATTGTAAAACCCATCCTTTCGCAAAATGTTTGTACCTTTTACCGAGCATTTTTCACTTCAAAATACTCACTGACAGATCAGTCAGTCCTTGACTGTTCGTCAAGAAAACTTAAAATTTTCAATCTGAATATATAGTTTTTAAGTGAGTTGTGAATTTAACTTTTGAAAAACCATGAGCAGCAAGGAAGTTAATAATACTAGTGTAATGGACAAATTCCGTCAACATTTTTGAGACAAATTATAAAATGAATTAGGCCTTGGCGTTCCACTTCATATAAAAAAATTTTATGGTTCAACAATTTAGACAATATTATATTAATTATGTTAATTATTACTAACTAATAAATTTAATAATAAAATAATCAATTTAAAATATAAATATGATTAGAAAATTAATTACAAATAAATACATATTCTAATAGTTTATAAATATTTTTTAATAATAAGGCCAAAATTCAATCGAGTGGATAGGAATGGCTAAAGTAGAGTCGACTCAGAGTATTTACGCTGCCCTACAACGGAAAAACACACATAAGCCACATTGTCGCTTTGGTCGAGTTCTGTATATAGACACTGGTAAAAAGCGACTGAAGCGACAATGTGGCTTATGGGTTTTCTTTCGTTGTAAGGCAGTACGAATAGCGCGAGTAACTTCGAATAACCCGAGTAACTACGAATAGCCCGAGTAACTACGAATAGTGCGAGTTAGCACGAATTAAGACGAAGTAAAGTCTGTAACGTCGGGTCGACTCGTGAGTGATCAGCCCCTCGTATATATATATATATATATATATGAAAATCCATTTCAATGATTATTTCATGAATGCCCTTTGCAAAAGTCTAAATACAAATAGAAATAGAGAATATTAAAGTAGTGGTGAAACAATTTTTTAAGATCTAAATTTCATGATTTTTATGATGCTGAAGTAGGTCAGCATTTCACTTATTTCATTTCCGTCAACATATATATATATAAAAAATTTGACTATAGAACAGTAATTAGTAAATTTTTTTTTTAAATTCTAATCGAGAGATAGGACCCAATTTATATAACAATTTTTTTTTCTCATAATTTTTTCATGAAAAATTAAGGGCTAAATTAATAAATAACGCGTATAAATTTGTAATGGCCGTTAACAGACGCAACTGCGCTTGCGCAACAGCAACTCTCTTATTGGTAGAAAATTGCTTTCTTATATTTAAAATGAATATAAGAAAATGTCGAAAAAACAATGAAAACAAAAATTGTATTCTCTAAATTTGAATTGAAAAGTGAGCTATTAATTTACATTAGTAAGAATTTTTTATTAATTTTTAGTAAAATATTACTATTTGATTTAGTAGTTAAAATTTTTTTTTTACTAAAATTTAGTAAAAAGTGACTTTTTATTTCTATAAACATTTTCTTATATTAAAGCATTTTAAATATAAGAGCGCCTTTTTCTACCAATAAGAGAGGCTATATAGTAGCGCAAGCGCAGTTGCGTCAGGCAACGGTCGTTAACATCTTCAGTCCGCCATTTTGAATTTTGAAAATTTGACTTGAAAACGTTATTAGCGTATACTTTTACTTATTAGAATCAACAAAAAAGTAAAAATCTATTTTTGGTTTATTTATTTATTACACAAAAAAAAACGCTGGATAAATTTTGTTGCGGGTAATTTTAACCAATGCTAATTCACATAGACGGTGGCGCCCTCAACTAGGATAAAATTTGTTATTCTTATACCGATTTTGGGGTAAAAATTCGACTTCTTTTACTGTGTAATTTCAATGAATTCATGTTTAAAATCAAAAAATAAAATCGCTCACATAAAAAAAGGATTTAACTGGTCGGACACCTTGTCAACAGTCAAGGAAAAAAAAAATTGTGACTGTTACATATTCTTCACATATATATATAGAATATATAAAACGGAAGCTCTTTTCTATTGACGAGAATAGATAATAGATGTATACAGGACATTATAAAGATGAGTCACAAAAGGGCGTATAAGGGCGTCTCGACTGCAAAGTCCGAGGGCGCTGGTTATTATCCTCGAGGTTTTTTACGAGGTCCCGTTTCGCGTTTAACGATTGAAACTGCTTGGCAGCAGGGTCGCGTTTTGTTCGGCATAAATTTACGATTCCTCCCGAGTGTGCGATCGCCCTTGGGGGCTCTTCTGATTTTTTTTTACTTTTTTTTTTCTTTCTTTGCTCTCTCTCTCTCTCTCTCTCTCTCTCTCTCTCTCTCTCTCTCTCTCTCTCTTTTTCTTTCTTTTTTCGAATCGAATAAAATTACGAGAAGCTGTTTCGATGTCGAAATCACAAAAGGGCCTCTCTATGGCCACCGTACAGAAGCGTCGCCGCATCGAACGTGTGGATCGCATCCAGGTCGAATAAACGATATTTTAAATCGCGAGACAGTGCTTTTGTTTTTTTTTCGTTTTTTTTTTATAATTTTATTGGGATCGACGTTTGCGCAGTAGTTCTCAATCGATTGTAACCTGAAAATGTCATAAATTTTCAGCTTCCAACTAAAAAAAAAAAAAAAGAGAGAGAGAGAGAGAGAGAGAGAGAGAGAGAGAGGAAGGGAGAACAAGACGATTGGATTGAATTTTACGTTAATCGAGGAAGCGAGTTCAAGATGATTAAATTTCATTTGTCTTCGAGGAAATCACTAACGGTTCTCGAAAGTTAATTCTTTTTTTTTGCCAGATGCACACATTGTTGCTCTCTCTCTCTCTTTTTTTTCTCTCTCGCGCGAATCAATCGAGTTAGAGTATTATGCAATTGTGCAACTGGAAGAGATGTTTATAGTCTGATCGAAGAAAG